ATCTGGTGAACTGGATCTATAAAGTGACCTGAGATGACATGATGTGAATTGGAGCTATAGAAATAAACTGAATAGAATTGAATTTTCATATAAAAGGTGCACCCCTTCATGGACCCCAGGCTCTTCTACTGCAGCGTAAAATGGAGGCTGCCTTCCACTGTTCTTTGCTTCTAGATGTTTCATTTGTTCCTTTCTGTCCACTTTGTGTTTCTCTGTTATTTTCTCTGGTCTGAAGTTTAGTTAAAAGCTGGAAACTAAAAAAACAAAGAATGAAAAGCACTTACAGAGTTTGGGGATTGGTTTGCAGGATCACAGGCCATGGAGACCAGGTCCTTCAGGGGGTCCTGGGTCAGGTGGGGGGGGTAGCGGATCGCTCCGTGGGCAAAGTAGGAAGAAGATGGAAAGTGGATGGATGAGGAGGGATGAGGACACCGAGAGAGGCCTGACCAAAACACAAAATAATGCTTTAGGAAGTTCCTGCAGAAGGTCCAGAGCATGTGGATGAAGGGGGGGGGGAGCGCTGCGCTCTACCAACCGCTGTGCACGGCTATGACTGGACGGTGGTGCTGCGTGAAGGACCCCATTCTTGGTGAGCCCTCCTGTGGGGAGGGGCTGTCCAGCTCCGCCTTCTTCACCGGGGGAGATAAACCTGGACACAAAGGTATGGAAACACTGTTTACCAACTGATTAGCTCCTCCCTCATCAGAACGCCAACAGCAACTAAGCTCGCTGTGCTGGTTCCTGCTTCTGCACCCAGCAGGCGGCAGTCAGAGAAACAAGGCGCAGCAGAGCCAGATGACCCTGCTGACAGCGACTGGGAATAATTAACTGGGAACTGCTTACTGTCCCCGCATGCAGGTTTAAACCCGTTAGTCGCTTCCTTTATACTCAAACACCGCTAAGAGATTAAGTCCTAGAAGCTGTGAAGACGTTTGGGAACATTTCTGGTGACTACCTCTCGAATTTTACCGAAAGAATAAAAGCGCTAAACCAACCAATCAGTTTAAACCCAACAAGTGTTTAACATGTTGGGTTTACATATAAGTCTGTCTGTTTTAGAGCAGAGCAGCTTTGATATTCCGTCCAAATGTTGGTGGTGTTTGGACAACAGAGAAAGAGCGGCATAAATTCACATCCTCCAATATTCGTCATTTAACTCATTAACAGACATAAATTCATTCTAAGTGGCATCATTAAATCAAGCTAAACTATCATTACAGATGTTTGATCGATGCACTCAATAGAGGAGAAAAAGAACAGATAAAAATGTTAGAAAGCCATTACACGTCCTAGAAAAGAAGCAGACCTGCACACTACTGCCACGACTAACCCTAAAATAAAAGTTTTGTGTAACATAATGAAGCTGTCGGCATCACCTCCCTGCCAGCGTTACTTCACTATTAGACTTACCTTACTTTCAGCATTATTTCACTTTGGCGTTACCTCACTGTCAGCGTTACTCAACTGTTACCATTACTTCACTATAAGGGTTACTTTACTGTCTGCGTTACTTTACTGTCAGCGTCGCTTAATTTTCAGCGTTACTTCACTATTAGACTTACTTCACTTTCAGCATTATTTCACTTTGGCGGTACCTCACTGTCAGCGGTACTCAACTGTTACCATTACTTCACTATAAGGGTTACTTTACTGTCTGCGTTACTTTACTGTCAGCGTCGCTTAATTTTCAGCGTTACTTCACTATTAGACTTACTTCACTTTCAGCATTATTTCACTTTAGCGTTACCTCACTGTCAGCGTTACTTCAATGCCAGCGTTACTTCACTGTTACCATTACTTCACTATAAGGGTTAC